ATTTGGTACCTCTTTTCTTTTAATACAACGAACGGTGTAATTCTTTAATTTTAGAAGCAGGTGGCAATCCTATTCAAAAAACTGACCCTTGTTGCACATATACAGGCCCAGACCTTTCATTTGGTACCTCTTTTGTTTTAATACAACGAACGGTGTAAGTCTTATGATTTTAGAAGCAGGTGGCAACTCTATTCAAAAAACTGAAACCTTCTTGCACATCTACAGGCCCAGCCCTTTCATTTGGCACCTCTTCTGTTTTAATACAACGAACGGTGTAAGTCTTTTATTTTAGAAGCAGGTGGCAACCCTGCTCAAAAAAAAGAGACCTTCTTGCACATCAACAGGCCCAGCCCTTTCATTTGTCATCTCTTTTGTTTTAATACAACGAACGGTGCAGATTTTATAATTTAAAAAAAGGTGGCAACCCTATACAAAGGAGTCCTACCTTGTGGTATATCTAGAGGCTAAGCCCTTTAATTTGGCACCTCAGTTTTGCAAATCGAGTAATCGGTGCAGATCTGATATCGTTAACAAAAAAATGCCTTCATGTATTGTATGTATGTACATATGTATATGTATACATATAGATTGGAACTAACTCTGGTATTTGGATATTAGGGGTTATTAAAATCCATGTAGGAGCTTCAAAACTATCACATTCGAATATACACCACTCTGGAATACTTGATTTTTAACTTTGACTTTTATTTCTGCCTGAAAAAATAAAAGTCAAGAATTACCGATTATTTTCTGCTCAAAAAGATAAAAGGCAAATTTTAACTTTTATTTTTGCCTTAAAAAAATAAAAAGCAGAAATAATCGGTATTATTTGCTCAAAATGATAAAAGTCAAAAAATAACTTTAATTTTTTGACTTTTATTATAAAATGCATAACCGGTACGGTCTCTGACAATGAGAGACGAGTCTAATGGTACCTTTGAAAAAGCTATAGCATAATTTTATCACTATGCCTTTTTGATATCAAAAATTTTAAAATAACTTTTATTTTCAGTCTCTGAAAAATATACATACATAGTTCATTCAACAGCAAAAACCAGCATAATCAATTTTTTTCATTTCATGTAAAACTCGGGAAAATTCAAAAAATACCAAAAAAATTTCATCATCTACTTTTTTACATATAAAACACAATTTGCCATAGAAAATATATCTAAATAAAACGGTTAAAACGTGAGGGTATTCATATTTTTGACGCGGACTGTACATAAGTTCACAAAATAGATACGGTGGCGAAATTATAAATAGGGACGCAACATTTTAACTAGAAATTCCAACACTTTGTCTAATAAAAACCATGTAGGTCCGAATTTCGAACTTAGAAAATAAAAGTAGGAAAACTCAGCGAAATTGCATAAAATTTTCAAACTATGTAATCAAAATTAAAAAAAAAGTTTAGGTATAAT